AGCGTCGTGGAGATGGGACATGTTCTTCCTGATAACGTAAGAATGAGTGGACTGTGTCAGCCCAAGGCCTTTTTCCCAGCAGTGCCCAGAGATGGTTATCTAGGAAAAAGTAGGAGAACATGGCTAGCAGTGTGACACTTCCCCCAGTGTGCCCCTAGAAGCCGTTTTCAGGTTGGGGATGCCCAGTCGGATGTTGTGTACAGCAGCTTGACGTAGCCAGAAAACCAGCCTGCTGTTCTTGGAGGAGGTGGATGCGTAACCTCAGTGTTGAGAGCAAGGGCTTTTAAGGAAATTTAACAAAATTTTCTCAGTGCTCTCTCTTAAGTTATGTTTGTTTCTTGCTTTCACAATAGGGTTATGAATACAGCCGGAGTGGAAACCCTACCCGGAATTGCCTGGAGAAGGCTGTGGCAGTGCTAGATGGAGCTAAATACTGTAAGCAATTACAGGTTCCTCGAGCAAGATGTCAGCATGCGTGTCTCCTGACTGTCTACAGTAGGCATAACTTGGGGAGCAAGGACGCTGAGCTGTCAGCAGCGGTTGTATCACAGCCAGGCTTTCACAGCCTCTGACCACTGGTTATGGGCAAGAGCTGCTTCATGGTACGAGAGCCCAACACGTACTGTCCAGGAAAGTCCAGCTCAGTCACGGGGCTTTCTGTAGGGCTTCCTCTCACTGCGTTTGGTGCCTGAGCTAAACTGAATCCGTCCTTGTGCAGCCGCACTGAATGCAGTGGGGAGCGGGAGCCAGGCAGCAGCTGTTACCAGCCTTCCTTACCAGTGTTCATCCTGGGTTCCACTCTGTGTAAAATCAGGCTGCTGCTTTTATGGAATCCACTTAATGAGTGAGATAGCATAGGTGAGAGTGACAGAACAGGTTCCTTTTGAAAGCAAAGTGTGGAAAGCAAAGGCAAGTTTGACAAGGTTGTATCACATTAAAATGCAGTCTGTCTGCCACTTACTCTTTTCTGTTTTAGGTTTAGCTTATGCTTCTGGCTTAGCTGCTACTTTGAATATTACTCACCTGTTAAAGTCAGGGGATACGATTATCTGCAATGATGATGTCTACGGAGGTATGTAAAGCACAAGTGTGCTTCTGATTTTCATTGTGCAAAATGATTAAATGTAACTATTTGTGATTCTCATGAACTTTCTGAATTTCCCACATAGGACCTTACTTTTCTTTAAACCCTTTTCACTTGATGAGAACACAGAACGCTTCTGTCTGATTCTGGTGTTAGAAATTCGAACACTGAAAGGTTCCAGGGCACAACATGGAGGTTTAAAAAAATGTAGCTAACCAGTAATATATGCTTGAATGCGGTGAAAATAGCAACATCCTAGCATTGCACAGATCTGTTTGCAGAGCAGGATCCTCTGCAGTCCAGCGTAGCAGAGCTTTCCAGCTTCTGGTTGTTCTACTATTCCTTTCCTAGGTTTGACCCTTTACCAACCAGCATTTTGTCTGGACTGTTTCAGACAACTATTCCGTCATCTTCCTTGAAAACACAACTTGCATCTGTTATGCCCATGTCTTCTGAATGCTTCAGTGATGCTGCAGCCCACTATTAGGTTTTGATCTTGGGTAGGTTTTTTTGATCCATTCTTCCAAGACACTCCCTAGTAACAAACAGAGTACATCCACCTCTGCCAAAGTCCTTCAAAAGGTTGGTGCTGCCCAAAAGTCCCTAGTGGGAAAATCTGCCAGGGTGCCCTGGGACAGTTGCTGTCCTCAGTGCCCGACTCCCATGTTTCACTGATCAGCAAAGCTTATCTACCTCTGTCTGCTTCAAGGCCTTGGCATAAAGAGATCAAATCTGCTTTGTTCTCAAAGGAAGGTTAGAGAGGCCAGCAACAGGTAGCGTTTTCCCAAGCAATAGCTGGAAAACCTTTTAGTAAGAGTAATCACATTTCCCATCGCTAAGAGTGACCAGTCAGTTCTCTATGCTTATGCACATCAAATATAAATACACACATTTGCTTTTAATGTTTTAGTTCTGTCATGCCAGATAGCTTTTCTTCTCCAAAGTACATCTGGAGGCAAGTTGAGTGAAGACAGCAGGAATCCCTGCTGACAGTCTGCTCCTTTAATTCATGGCCCTCCCACCACAGAACTCGGTAAATCAAAGTCACTTGGCCAAAACATATTACCAGTTCCTCACTTCAGAAAGGCCCATAGATGTATTTTTCAAGCAAAACCAGTTCACCTGCTCATTAAAGCCTCAGCCTGTGGTGATTTCTGCAGAAATGAATTTCATTGTTTCTTCCCTGAATTTTTTTCATACTCTTGTTGTAAAGAGACCAGCTTCCCCACAGACAGCCTTATTCAGTAGAATTCACACCCCGTGACATGGTACATCTGCAGATCAGCCACTGGCCACTGTGGCCAGTATGCGTTCAGCCCCTTCATTCTTCCCTTGGATATTAGAGGCTCCTTGTCCCCTGAGACCCTGTGTGCTTTTCTCCTCGGCTGTGCTTTTCTGGCTGTTCCTAGTCGTTTTTCCTGCTTGTGTTCTTGCACGCTGCAGCCTGGTCCTTTGTCAGCCACTTCCTCGCTGTTACCTGTGCCGATTCCTTTTTGCCGTGCAGGGTTTGCTCCTCCACCACGCTTGCCCTGTGCAGCCTTTCATACTTCAGCCCTGTAATAGCAACCTTTGAGTCACTGGGTACTGAGTGCTGGCACATGTCCCTGCTCCCTCAAGGGTACGCTGGCTTTGGTCAGCTTTTAGTGCGTTTTTTGTAAAAGGCCTGGTTGGATAGGAAAGCAGAACTGCGCTTGCTAACTCAAATGAGTCAGCAGTATTCAAGGTTGTCAGTAAAACGGTAAGAAAACCCAAAAAGCTCTCGGGCAGTGCTGAAAAGCATATTGCCTGGGTTGTGTTTAAGAAATGCTGAGTTTTGGGAGGCATGAGGAGGAGCTGTAGGTAGTTGACACCTCTGAATTCTGCGCCATTGTTCTAACTTCTTAAAAGCACTGCTATCAGTGTAACCTCACATTTCCATCTAAGGTTTTTTGTAGTGCGCTATTATTGAAAGTATGAAGACTAGCATAAAGCAACTTTTCTGATGTTTTTATTCGTAGAGTTGACAGACTATGTGAAAATTTCCCATGCTTGAATAAAATTCCTACAGCACATGAGAGAATATAATATATCACTTATTGTAGAAATAGGAGTGTTTCCTTAAAAAAAAAAAAAGATCCAGATGTAGCGTTCAGCACACAGAATCATACCCTGCATGTACTATGACTTTATGGCTAGGTGACAAACTGCTGTTCTGCATAAGTGAGTAAATGTTGAATAACCTTGGCAGAAAGACCTAATGAATTAATTTTTAATCCAGGCAGTGTTGCCAGATAGTTGGTCTGTTGCACATCTACTGATCAACTGGTTGCTTCTAGTTTCTTCTTTTAATCTTTCCAGTGAAAGGCTTCAAAGACAGAAAAGAAGGAAATATTAATTTTTTTTATGTTCCTTGCTACATGTTTATTTCATGGAATAATAAGAAAGACAGTAGCTGGAGTCTTCCGTTTGGAAGAATTAAATTCTCCCAGATTCTCAATTAAGCTTATCAAATAGAAAAAAGAGTTGAAAACGTGTGGTGGAAAAAGTTGTTAAAAGTAAGGTGGGGTAAGGAGGACCTAAAAACTGGAACTGCTAGCTTGTGCATGGCAGAGGGCTGGAGGAAAAGTTAGAAGCAGGCAAACTAAAAGAGGTCTATTTAATTTTCTGATTTAAAAAACAAAACAAAACCAAAAACCTGAACAGCTATTAATTGAAAGTACTTCGTAAATCACTCTGATTACATATACTCATTATTACTTTTCCATGATGTTTAAAACGGCATTTTTTTATTTCTAAAAAGTTTAATGTACCATTTATGGCGTACAGCATAAAACTGTACCCTCCTGACTTTCTGTGGATGCAGACAAAAGACTGGAGATCAGTGAAGAAAAGTTAAGGAAGTTGTTTCATTTTGTGTCTCTGATTTTTTGTTTTTGGTTTGATTTTGTTTGGGTTTTTTAGGCACAAACAGATACTTCAGGAACGTAGCCATGAAAATGGGTTTGAATATACTTTTTGTTGACTGCACAAAAGTGGAATGCCTGGAAGCTGCAATTACACCAGAGACCAAGGTAGGGGAGAGGGAAATTGCTGAGCTTACTTCCTTAATGTCGTTAAATAATTTTATTCTTGCTGTTGTTATGTTGAGTGTATGTGACAAGCAGAGGGGGCTGCAGGGGTGGCCTCTGCAGGGACAGGCTGGGGCACAGCTGCCTCCAGCATGTCGCCAGTGCAGGCCACTTGGTGATGCTTGTGGTGCTCATTGAAAATATTTTAAGGGCAAAAAACACTGTAGAGAGAGAGAGGAGGAGGGAAAAGCTAAGAAAGAGCAGAGGGAACACCAAGGTCAGAGGAGGATGAGGTGCTCCATGGCACTGGAGCAGATAATCCCCTGCTCTAGTGGAAGATCATTCAGCTGGAAAAGGCTTACAAACTTCTGGGCGTAAAGACTTCTGGCTATATCAGGCCTTCTTCAGATGTGATGCACTTAGGTTTTCAAAAGCTTTGATGTTCTTCCCATGTGTCAGTTGTTTTTGTGGAGAATATTACCTCTTCCCTGAAGCCTTGCCTTCCTTCAGTAGGGACACTTTCTTATTTCCACTCTGCAAACTTGCATGGGAATCTGACACTCAACAAGTTAATGTTTAAAAGCACTTATGACTTACACGTGTATCATCACCAGCATTGTAAAATCTCTAAACTGATGTTTTTTGTTGTTGAATTACTGCAGCTTGTTTGGATTGAAACGCCCACAAACCCCATGCTGAAGGTCATTGATATTCAGGCCTGTGCAGATGCAGTACATAAGCATAAAGATGTTCTTCTGGTGGTAGACAACACTTTTATGTCTGCATATTTCCAGGTAAACGCTTCGTTTGTTTACAATTACCCCATTATTTCAGGGTATTCAAAGATACATTTTTTTAGAACGGAAGCACCACCAAGGAACTGTAGTTTTAATCTATGCATTGTAAAATTACCTGTTCTGTTTCTAAATACGATCCATGTACTGTTGCTGTTTACGTTAGTAAAGGTGGTATGCAAAGTATTTTGTAGCTAGCCGTATACCTGTATGATACCAGGAAACCCAATATAGCTCAGCAGTCAAGTAAAGACACTGGATCAACACAGGCAGGTAAGCCATTGGGAGAATGGCTTCTCTGTCGTTCAGAAATCGTGGTTTTTAGTTCTCACTGATGGAAATCATAACAGGGCTGTTAAAAAGTGTCCTGTCTTCTAACTTTGGCCTTTTTATACTAATTCTTTTGTATATGCTGTTTATGATCTGTTCTGAACCACTTGATATTCTAAAAAAGGTAGCGGAAGAAAAATTTAAAACAAGCAAACTGTTAAATCTTTCTTTGAGACAGTCAGGTTACCTTTTTCTTCAATATTTTGGTGAATGTGTGGCTTAGAAGTTTGTAATTTTGATCTTGAACAACTGGCATAACTTTTCTGCTTTTATAACTATAATACATGAAGTGAATACAATTTCTTAAGTTCTAAAAATACTTTGGAATAATGAACTTCAAAGTCTAGTTGACCTTAACATGGGCTAGCAATATTCATGTATGTTTCCCAGGAGACTGAGCTAATCCATTGTATTTTGGGTCTAAAGCAGAACTTTTTTATAAAGAGTGCAAAAGGCAAGGTGTCTTTGTTTTTGTTAAGGGTACTGAGATCTTTATAAATTAAGAGAGCTTCACAGAAAATGTTAATGCTTAGCTAAAGCAGCACTTGAGTATGCCTTGTACATACCAAAGGCTTGGTGATTTCGACCCCGCAATGTATGTTACTTGACGTGTGTGAAAGAAGAAAGATGAGCATCTTAAGGTGAGCTAGTTAATGTGTCTTTTATTGGCCTGGTGCTAAGAGAAATCCAGTTGTAATGATTAATTCTAGTAAGCGTAACAGGTGATGTCTGTAAACCCCTGCAGACTGCTGCTGATACGCTGTACTAAGAAGATCATAATTTTAGAGTGATTTAGATAGCAGTATTGAATGTAAAAGGTACTGGTGTTTGTGCTACCGTTCTCCTGGCTGTGCGTTGGGAATGCACATTGTCCGTGTTCCTTGAATGGACATTGTGTTCAATCTGACAGCAGCAGTCTTTTATTCTAAATCTGCTTGCTTTGTTACTTTTTAGCATATTGATACTCTTCAGTTTTTATATGTTTGTATTATGTCCAAAGTCCTTTACTTAGTGACTGATTAAAAAACAATATGTTGTACTTCTTGCCTATCACCATCTCAGTTTGGCTCACCTTCAAAGGGCTTCTGGGAAGAAAGCTGGGAGGTTAGGGGGGAGAGACCTGGCCAACAAAACCCTTTGCACTTTCTTCAGGTTTTCAGTTGTTCTTTTGGAGCAGTATCACCAATACTAATATCTACAAAACGATGCAATTGTTCTGCTTTTCAGACTATGTCGAGGTCTTAATTTTCTAAGGGAATATACTTTAGAGTAAATGCCATTACTTATCGCTGCCTCAGCTAAGCAATATGACTATTTTTTTCACAAATATGAATGGGCTGTATGTTAGATGTATTCAATCACTCCTCTCCCTGAAGCTGGTTGGAATTAGAACAGTGCTTTTAAACCACATTTTATTGTGGTTCTTTTTATTGTGCTTATCTTGAATTCAGAGTGCTTTCCCGTACTATTGTTTTTGACACATATTCTATCTATCTTCGTTCTCAGGTTCTTGTGTTTAAGATGTTAAGTTTTTGTGTCTTTTTTTAGTTTTTCTACCTATTATTAATTTCTGTGTTGAATCACAGCCTTTCTGGATAGCTTGAAATGAACCTGAGTGCACACAAGTTTTAATGGGACCTATTATTTTAATTTCATTTCAGCGTCCTTTATCTCTGGGGGCTGATATTTGTATGTATTCTGCAACCAAATACATGAATGGTAAGTATGTGAGCTCAGCACAAGTCAGGCTGGCTATTTAAAAGCCATTCTGGCTGCTGACAGTTCACAAAAGCCAGTGTGTGTGCCAGTAATTCTTAGACAGCCCGTTAGAGGAGAGGGACCATTGAATAGACCATTAGTCTTCATAGCTCCTAAACTATCCCTGGGAGAAGGAATATTGACCTGACTTCAGGCAGTAGACCTAGAGGTGTTTATAGCCATGTTGGCTTTAATTTGACTACAACAAAGCAAGTGGCTTCAGTAGAAGGTAGGTGCCAGAAATTATATTAAGGTTTGAAGGAGGTTTCATACGGCTGTGTTGGAGACAACATCCAAAAGCACGTTGGCTGTGTTGTTTCCCAACCAGCCCAGACTTGGAGCTGACGCGGCCGTAGCTGTGCTGTAGCCACACATCCCTGCTGGTGCGGGTAGAAGGGGAAGTCTTCTGGGCTGGTGCTGCTCCACAGGGCACACCTGATTCCTGTTCGATGTCCTGCTTTCTGGCAGTTAGCAGCGGTGGGCTTGGGAAGCGTCTGGGAGCATGCATGCCTGCCCCACACGGTAGAGCACACTGCTGGCCAGAGCTTTAGAAGAAGCTGAAATCTGCCTTATGATTCATGGGCTGCACAGGAAGGACAGCTGTAGCAATGAGAAGGAACCCGGTGTCTCGCACAAATAGGACTGTATTAGCACCAGCACTGAGAAAATGGGGGTTTGTGGCAGAACCCTGGAGCGGATGGAGTGGCTGATTCTGGTCTTGTCTTCTTGCATTTTTAGGGCATAGTGATGTTGTAATGGGACTTGTTTCAGTAAACTGTGATGATCTCTACGAAAGGCTCAAATTCCTACAAAACTGTAAGTAGTCAATATAGGAAATACCTTGGAATCAATCGTATTCAAATATACCAGCTGTTAATGGGAAGCATGTTGCATGCACACAGGTGTGAAATCTATCTAGGGGTATAGCTCAGGCCTTGGAATGTGCAGAAGTCTAAATGACTGGAGAGAAAGCGGGAACACAGGTGTAAGAAACCTGAATTCTCTTCCCTGCCTTTCACCGGTACATAGGGTGGCCTTACGCAAACATGATAGCTTTTGGTATGCTTCTGGCTTTTCTCTCAAATAAAGTCAGTGACACCGGTCTCCACTTCCTAGCTGCTGCTAGAAAGATGCTGGGAGCAGTGTGGGTTATTCACCATTTGTTCACCAGGGGCTGGCGAGTGGGGTGAATTGTCCAGTGGCAGGTGCTTGAATGCAGGCAGCACTCTTCCCTGCAGGACTGTGATTCCCCTCTGTCCCTGCTTTCCCCTGAGAAGTGTGTGCCCCGCTGCTCCCGAGGGAGGGCTGAGCTGAGGACCCTCTCCCTGTTGCGCTTCCCTGAGCCCCGTGCTGATGTGGCACGGGGAGCTCTGCCTGTGCTCTCTGCATCACGCGCAGAGGCAGGAGATGTAGCACGGCCTGAAAGCATCAGATGTGGACAGACTGCAGCTGCTCCGCATGTCTGTTACATGGGGCATGACAGCTTACAAAGCCTCTCTTTAAGTTATAGTTAAGACCATGGCAGAAGGAACACCATTGTTTCCTATATTCACTTCACATTGTGTATGAAGAGGCATACAAACATTTAAATTACACTTTAATTTAATTTCATCTAACTCGTGTCAAGTGCATCTGGGTTTTTTTAACCTCATTCATACATCAGAGGATATGCCTCATGCAGAAGTTTCTTATAGAGGTTGATTATAACAAGTTTGCTGCCTCTTGATTATAATCAATAAATTTCTGTATACCGTTCAGTCTGCCCTCTGTCTTACAGAAAGCGTAAAGGTATATTGTATCTAATAAATTTAATCCTTGAATCTTCAGCTTGTTAATTCAGCTCATTAATTGGCTTCCCATGTGTGTGAGGTGAGGAAGACAGATTGCATCAGACGTCTTTCCACTTGTCTTGTTCTAGCTTTAGAAATTTTGGAAATTAGGACTGTATTTAGTTTTACTAAAAAAACATGACCCTTTCATTTTATGTGGAATTTTGTTTTGATTTCTGTAGCTCTTGGAGCTGTTCCATCTCCCTTTGACTGTTACCTGTGCAGTCGTGGTTTGAAGACATTACAAATCCGGATGAAGCAACATTTCCACAATGCATTAGCTGTTGCTCGATTTCTTGAGTCAGATTCCCGGGTGGAGAAAGTCATTTTCCCAGGTAGGCTGGCAAGACTTCAGAGCAGGTGACGTTCTAGAGTGATGGATTTGAGTACTGTAATACTACGTGTCGTTTGGCACCCTTCACATTTGGTGACTCTGGGTTGGGTGTCCGCCTTGGCAGTGGGCTGTTTCTGTATAGCTGAGGGTGAGCCGCTTTACCCTTTGAAGTGATGGTAATTAACTTAAAGCAACTTCCACAAATTTCAGGCTTGCCTTCACACCCTCAGCATGAGTTGGTCAAGCGGCAGTGTACTGGCTGTCCTGGGATGGTAACCTTTTACGTTAAAGGACGTCTCGAACATGCTGCTACCTTTCTCAAGAATTTAAAGGTAAATGAGGGTAAATACACACTACCTTAGAGGGACTTGAGACTGCCCTTCTGAGGGTGGTAATGGAAGGAAGTGTTTTTTCTTGGGGTGGGGAGAGTCTTTTTCTATACTTGCAAAGCTCCTAAAGTCTTTTGGGTGTAACCATCTCTAAATAATAGATTATTTGTAAATGGGAGGCTAATGAGAGGGAAGAAAAGGATGCCTCAGCTCATTTAAAGTATTTGTTTACACATAGGGTGTAGTACGTCCAGGTTAGCTCAGGCTTTGCTTCTAATAAAGGGCCTGCATACCAGCCTTTTGCAAAAATACCTGTAGAATTTGAAAGCAGAGAAGCTGTGGCTGGTGTAATACTGTTGTAATATTGTACTCATGTTACAATATTGTAATGTTGTACTCATCAGGAGAAAAACCCATTGAGAAATGACGTGAATTGTGAAGCAAAGAGGGAGTCCCTCAGTTTGGAGAATCGTTGTTTGTTTATTTTACCTAAACTATAGGCTTTTGCTTTTGTCTTTGCAATGTATTAATTCTGCCTGTACTCTTTAATGTGTTTGCTAGTCTTGATCTTGGGTCAATTTGCATCCTACTATTGTGTTTTTGCTGTTTTGTTCTTGGAAAAACAAATTGGTAGTAATTGACAAAGGTAAATTAGAACTTCCTTCTCCTCCCTATCTTACTTACTTGCCAGCTGATGTTATCAACTGAAAATGAATTTACTAAAAATATAATTTTCCCACAAAATATCCTTTTACATGAGAGAGAAAGCGTTTAATCCTGGCACAGGAGATCTGCCAGCTTTGACAAAAAGTGTCAGGGAATACGTTCCAGAAGTAGTCTGTGGGGTTCTCCCTTCATGCGAGGCACGGACAACTCAGCACACCAATATGATGATCAGAGAAGTCCTTTATTATGTTCGAAGCTGCATCTTATATTATGCTTTCTACTTTCGTACACGCTCGTGCTCAAGCTCTGATTGCTTATGCGTACTGTCCACGCGACAATCATACTTCTTAGAAAGGATTCGGATAGGTGCTTATGCTATGCATAGCTTCTACGTAAATTAAACACAAGTTCTTTGTCTAACACACAAGCTCTTTGTCTCACCTTGTTACTATGACTTTGTTTCTTAATTTTGTCCATCTCCGGTTCCACAAGTATCCATCTCTTGTCCCACAAGCTTGCTTCTTTGTATAACTCTCTGCATTTTTCCCACATCTTATTACATTCTCAAAATGTCCTCCAGCTCATTGCTAACGTAAAATGATCCTACAGTAGTCCCTTACGAGTATGTTCACTTCAGCCCTTTGACTTGGATAGCCATTGGCTTGTCACTAGGTTGGTACAAAAGTAAAGCCATTTCCTGAAACCAGACTGAGAAGAGGATTATTTGGTTGATACCAGTAGTTGTTTTGTTTTGTTTTGTTTTGTTTTAAAGGACAAAAAAAGAGTGAATATGAGCAATTGAGGCTGCAGAGAAACGTTGAGGACAGTAAATGCATTCACAGCAGACAAATTGTGAATCCATGTTTGAGTGCAGCTGGGTCCCTAGAGCGCCTTTTTGTCATCCAGGAATACATGTCCGTAATTCAAAGATCAGTGCTAAAAACCCCCTTACCCAACAGTAAGCATTTCACAAACACTAGTCCTGTTAGGCACTGAGAAATTTAGGCTGGTTTTCAAAGTACTAAACTGACCATCGGATCCAAGGAGTGAAGAAATCTGTTCCGCCTATGGGAAGAATCTGAAATGTTTGGTTTTTTCCCCCATCAAGTCTGCCATTTGCCAGCCCGGAAAGCATAGGTGTTAAATGTGAACAGTGATGGTGATGCTGAAAGGAGAGTATGTAAGGTTAGGTTATAATCACTTACACCTTAACTGAAATTTTTGAGATCTGAGTCTTACTTTGTTCAGGCAGCCTGTTCTATCCTTCCTCTGAACAGAATGAAAACGCTGGTGGTGCCCAGGCAGAACCTGCTCCCTCACGTTGGGCATTTTCCATTCTGCTCTTCCTCCACTGCTGCCCATGCGTTGCATTGTAGGAACTACTCCTGAGTTATATTTGCTCAACATGGGCATACTTTAATTTCAGTTTTGCATCAGTGTCTCTTCAGATCCTTTTTAGGACAAGTCTGTTTTAAACCTTAATAGCTCTTACCTGCTAAATGTACACTTTATTCCCTAGAGCTAATACCGTTTATAATACAAAAGTTATTATAGAAAAACTTAGGAAAAAAACCCTAAACATTTCTTTTTCCTTAAGAATGTCTCTTTCTAAGTGTTCATAACCTTACACTTCTTAGGTTAATTTCTGTTTAATTTTTCCCTTAGGTTTTTACACTGGCTGAGAGTCTGGGTGGATATGAAAGCCTAGCAGAGCATCCGTAAGTCATTCTTCATCTTAAGAGTCTTCTAAACAAGCTGCAGAGTAACAAAAAACTTGTATGGAAGTTCTAAAATTTTCTGGTACACAAAGCCAAGATATTTCGCATATAATTGAGATTAAAGGATAGTATGTTGTATAGCACAAAAATCAGCAGCTACTCCAGAAATGAGTATGACTTTTGTGAATATCAGAATGCAACAATGAAAGAATTTCCACTCTTCCTTGTTTTAACTGGGAGACTGAGATGCAATTTGTTGCTATGATAAGAAATCCAAGAAATCGGCGTGTTTTCAAGTAAGTAGTATTGAGCAGATCTGGTCTCAGTGTTGAGGAAAGAGGTCTACCGTTCTGCCTGCTTACACAAGAGGGCATCTTCAGTATGCCACACCGAACTGCCTCCGTCTCCGTGGCAGGTAAGCTTTGTGGAGATTTTAGTAATACGTGGTTGCCCCTGTCTAGGTTAAAAGGCTAAAAATAGGACTTCTATGGAATTAGATTATTTTACTTAAATCCAGTTTGCTTTTCAAAAAGATAAGTGGAAAGTTATGACTAAACTTGCATGTTAAATCATTTCACTCACTCGTTTTAGAATAACAGCAAATGGTAAAACACTTAAGCAGGTTGAGAGGTAATTGCGAATTGTCACTGACTGAGCATATGGGGGAAATAACTTCGTACCTATATCCTCCATAGCAGGAGAGAATAAACTCTTCAGTGTAAGTGGGTACAGTTTGACAAGTGATCTGAGAAACCAGAAGTTTAAAAAAGCAAACCAAACCAAACCAAAAAAAAAAAAAAGGAGATTTTATACTGGAGATTGTATACTGTAGCTGTTTCTCCACATGCTTAAAGCAGAGCTTTTAGATACTCTTTCTTAGAAAAAAGTTTAAAAATATCTGGAAGGAAGAGGAATAGAATTTTCTCCTTTTTTTTGGTTCCACGTTGTCAAGTATCCAGTTCTCATTCATCTTTTGTAGCTTGGAAATACTGTACTGAAATGCTGGAAGATACAAGTCAGTGACTTGTCTGCGGTGCACATAATTTACAGTAACTGATGATATGATCTCTTTCCGTCTGTGGGTTAACCAGCAGGCGGTACACAAAAGATGCAAAATCTTCATGGAGTTTCAGGAGATGCTGGCAGGAAACCAATTTGTTTGGCCTTTACTGATAAAAGTAAAAACTTCCTAGAAAAAAGGCTATTTTTTTCTCCAGGGCCATCATGACTCACTCTTCAGTGCCTAAAGAAGATAGAGAAGTCCTTGGAATCAGTGACACATTAATTCGCCTGTCAGTTGGTTTGGAAGATGAAGAAGATTTACTGGAAGACCTAGATCAAGCTCTGAAAGCTGCCGTAAGTGGGTTGTTACCTCGGTGCCATCACTCTAAAAAATAATGTCCCCTCTAGTCCTCTGCCTCTCTCACTAAACTATCTCCTGGTAATTCTTACCTCACTTGATTTTTAAACTACTCGTAAGCACACCTTGCAGAGTGGGTGTACAGTTTTAAAGCTTTCATTGTTAGGTTTCTCTGTGCAGCAAGGTTTACAGTCCTTGTCAGGCAGGATTTGAATTGACATAGATTCAAGTCTGATAGCCGCTAAGGTCAGGCTCAGGGGAGGCTCTCCTGTAGGCATAGGAGTGCTTAGTGTGTGCTTCAGGTTTTTCATGTCATAGTTTTAGAGAGGGTTGAGATATATTAAGGAGCTTCAAGAAAAGAGCTTCTGCCAGACAGTAAGTCCAATATTTGAGTGATGCTATTTTGTTCATAAGCGCTACTTCTACTCCTCTACCCAAAGTTCTCTATTTCAGACAATAGATTAAAATTGTTCTTTACATGTGGTAATTAATGAGATGCCACATACTGACTTTTCTTCTCAAGGCAGGTCACCTAAAATACATGAGGTGTAGATGTGTTTGTGTGTACCAGTATATACACATGCATATGTGCAGGGGAGAGGCTGGTTAAATGTGTATTGTCTTTTGGTCCTACACAGATTGGTGCTGTGCTTTTGGATCGGCTAATGCTGTGACTGAAGGAATAATCGGGTTTTTTTGCAAACTTCTTTTTTTAATCACTTTTTTTTTTGTGCTGGAAAGGATTAGTCATAGCTGAAAAATACAAAGTATGGGTACTTGACTTTGAACCGGTACATCAGTCTGATTGATCCCCTTTGGCAGCTGCAGACTTGCAGTTTGATGTACCAGTATTTCATTGCAGAACATGCCGTGTCATACTGTACTCTGTATTTATCATGCTGTGACTTATCAAGGGCACTGCCAGTGTCTTTTTGGTTTCTGCAATTGCAGATAACTTGTTAGGTGAGTTTCCCAGATGATCCTAGGAAGCAGGTCACATCGTGTGAAAGATCATTCCTTTTTCCCAGAAGGAGGTCCCTGACCTTCAGGTATGCAGGAGAATTCCTCTTGGTGTGAAATCTCACGACAGCTTTAGATCTGAATGTGTGAGCAAAGCATGCGAACCGGATGCCTTAAGCCTACCCAGGCACTCTCCCTCAACGTCTAATTTCGTCTGTTCTCCAAAGCTTCAATGGAAGACTAAAATACTTCCAACCTTCATAATCGTAATTATGTGCTGGAGAGAGGAAGGAAAATTTCCTCCTGATCCTGGTGGGCAACAGACAAAGCCCAGACAGAGGTATTGTTGCCAGAGCAGAGGGCCAGCCAGTCCTTACAAACGCTGTTGGAGATCTTGGGATATCCATTGCTCGAGGATGCCTACTAGATCTTTGGTTCTTGTTGCAAGCTTAGTTTTTGTTCTCGGGAGCTGCCAACTACTGTCATCTATAAAATTTGTTACTCTATCTTTACAGCTTCAGGTTCTGTTCCCAAGTGTCCCGTTTGCCCGATATAGAACTTCACTCCTCGAGGGTCAAACACTTTGATTTACAAAATCTAAATGTGCTCCTAGTCTGTTGTATCCACTTGATCGCACGTTGCTCCCACAGAGGCAAATGTAGGTATTAGGCATTTTGGTACCAGGCAGTGAAAACGTTTCATCAGGGCAGCCTGCTCTCTGCCACACCGTGGCGTAGGCAAGGGGATCAAAGAGAAGGAGACGAACCGAGGACTGCAGGAAGGGTCACACTTAACGGGGGCTTCAGCAAGCATTGGAATAAGTTTAATAAATAACCACGCTAAAAAAGCATGAGTTTCTTATTCCCTTCTCCCAACTTGTACTTTCATACTGTAGGAGCGCCATAACTCTTGTTGGTTTGTCTGTTTGTTTTCTTTGAGTGGGAATTCTGCAGATGTGGTGACTCCTCAGGAGTCCTTGCAATGCCAAGGACAGAGTTCACAGTCTTTGGACTTTGAGTCAGTTCCGAGTCAATGGCCACAGCAGAATGAGGTTCAGCACTACCTTGTTCTCTTCTGCCAGCTTTGCATCCCTGCAGGCACCTGCATTGCAAAAAAGAATTTAAAAAAAGAAAGGTGTTTTGAAATACAGTTTTCTGTGTGTGAGAGAACATGGTGGTATTGGTGGGTAAAGTATAAATTTGAGTCCTGCAGCAATTGTAGCAGATGTATAGTAGTGTGATGTCCTGTTCAGACAGGAACATTTTTGTCCCTCTATTTCTCTCTTTTTTTTTTTTGTTTGTTTTTGTTTGGTGATAGGGAAAATTTGCAATAGTAGCTACATTATTTCTATGTGTCAGCAGAGAGCATGAAGATAATCTAGTGGTAAAACATATTTATGAAAAGAAAAAAAAAAAGTGCATGGTTGATATAGGTGCAGAGCATAATTATCTCTCATTTTTCCTTCTCGTTGCAGTTTGCAGACCACAAGGATTGACTTTTAAAACCTGAACTTGGAATTGAACATTGAAATGGCTAAGGAAGATGACATGGAAAGCCAAATTGCTAATGATTTTTCTTTGATTTGCCTTTGAGAATTTGAATCTGCTCAGTCAAATGCTGGATTCCCGAGGTGTTCTCTCTTCATGCTGTTAGTTTATTCTGCTGATGTCTGGCTGTACACAGACCATGCACTGTGGCACACAGCCTGTGCTCTCCGGTGGGTCCGTTTCTGTTGTAATCCTTTGGCTTTGGAATTTCTGGAGTTGTGTTTGAGAGCAGCCATGATGCACACTCAGGAATATTACCCCGGCTCTCTCAGTGGAGATGAGTGTTCCTCATTTGTCAGTCTGAAGCTGCAAGGGTGTTAGGTCGAAAGGGTTGGTTTCTGTCACTGCTCCTCAGCATGCACAATTAGTTTTTCTCATCCCTTCTTATCCAACAGTTCGACTTAAAAACTGGGGATTTACCTTAGATTTTTTTTTTTTTTTTAGTTAGGTTGGAAATGTGGTTAAGTGCTTTTTCTCCTGTTGATATTTTATGGATAATAGAAAGTGAAGCGAAATCTAGCACCTGGTAAACAATGATAACTTTCTAAAGAGGATCCTTTCACCTTTAAAAAAAAAAAATCATGTGATGTTAATTGTGGTAATGATCTGATTTATATTTTAAATTGGAATAATTTTAATTAAAATATGCTTTGAATTTCCCTGGTGTATTACTTTTTATGACACTTGCATATACTACTTGCATTCAAAATCAGATGATGAAATGATCCGGGATTTGTTTAAATTTTTCTGTGGGGAAAATGACGTCATTGTTGTCTTTACTTCTGTCAAGAAAAAAAGATATAAATTCTGATGTATAACAACTTATCCTATAAATTGCAATATTGAGGCAAGGAACATGCAGGCACCCCAGGGTGCTGCTCGCTTGGGGTAGGTGGTGGGCGGCTGCCTGAAGTGCCCTGCACGGTGCCGCCTGTGAGCCGAGGGCAGCCCTCCTGCCCGCTTCCTCGCCGCTTCTCCGAATATCTCTGCCGCAGAACCACAGGAGAGGCCCAGGTGCTGCAGGGCTGGTTACGGGACTGACTGCACAGATCTGCCTTGGTTACAACATTCAGCTTTCCCAAACTGAATGAAAATTAGACTTTCTGGGGGTGTCTTTTCATTTTTGTTTCTTGCTCAGATTGAGAGCTGACATGAAATGCTCTTACTCGCCAGGGGATTAAAAGCTGCCTTAGGTTGTGGTATGGAACACCCCAAGACATGTGCACGTGAGGCAAGGGGGCTGTAGCTGAGATGAGAGGGCTGTAGCCGGTTGCCGTGAGCCCCGGCGGTACCCCGAGCAGGGTTAGCTGTCGTCTCCTGTTGCTGTCGGAGAATCGAGCCCTCAGGCTTCTGCATGGCCAGGGCAGAGGCGGAGGAGGTGATGGAAATGAATGTGTTTCATCTGGCCCTCAGAGTAGTTATTCTGAGTCATTCTCAGTTTGCCTGTCTGTAAGATCAGTGAAACATTGCAGGTAGCTTTTTATTAACTTCTGCAGGATAAATATTGTTACTGTACTGGCCAGGTCTGGTTTTGACTCTAAGCATAAGCAGCACATCAGTGTTAATTTATGTGGAAAGACTTGAGCAAATAAGTTTTTGTATATATAATTGTGAGTACAGCTTTAAAAACCTCGACAAGCTCCAGATGAACTGCGTTGGCATTTGTGCAGGTCCGTGGCACACCAGCGAGGATGGCGGCTGAGTCGGAGGGTGGGAAGGGGCTATGGCGGGGGAGACCCATCTACCACGGATCAGATGGGTCGGAGAGCGGCGGCGGATGCCAGCTGCGGTGCGGGCAGCGCGCTGATCTCCTGGGGCCTGGGTTTGGGGTGCTAAAGCAGGTCAGAAGTGGTGGGGCTGGGCTTTGCCGGGGTGCATCGGTCTGCCCCCCCGGGAGGGGAACCAGCGCGGAGGGTGCCTGTGCACATCTGCATACGGATAACTGCAGAGCCCTGCCTGACTTGCGTGGCCCGGCACAGCCTCTGAGCACAGGCAGAGCTTTAAACAGGTGAAACATCTATTTGTTGTCAGTAAAATTAAGACTGTGCTTTCCATACTGGGTCAATACAGCATTTCGGTGTGAAGTACGGAGTACAAATCCTATCAACCTGTTGGGGCACTGTGCCTTCTGAGCAGCAAACAATTACATATGTTGACACGCAAACGAAATAGCCTTGATTATCTAGAATGATTAAATCGTGGGAATACTGAGATGAAGGTATGCATACCCAACAAACATCTCATTTGCATATGAGTCTATTATAAAAGCATGTGCAGAACAAGGAAGATGCTGGAGGGGATATAGGCTGCTGGGTGGTGTGAAAATGAGGAACTTGTTATTTTTCAAAAAGCCAGCAACTGCTGATGAAGGTGATGAAGAACCTCCATGGCATCGTGGTTGTATTCTATGAGCTAGTAACTCTCTCCACTCTAATGGAAACCATCTTCTCTTCCTTGTTAATCTCTCTTAAATTGTCATGGTTGCGGTTACAACATTTTTTGACAAAACACCTGATTTAACTTCTCTGTTCCCAGCCTGGATAGTTTTTGTAGCACCTTCACTAACAAGGAGGTAATGAGTGATGAAAATGAGCAGTTTTAGAAAGGATAAACTGAAGAAGAAGATGTGGCTGCACCTGCGAGGAACTGGTGGGGAGCTGGGAATGTCCCCGGGGCCGTAGGCACCCTTCGGTGGCAGTGACGGGCTGGAAGCCCCCGCTCCCGGCTGCCCCAGGGGAAGCAATAAGAGGTGAGCAGTTGCATTTTCCCCCTTCCCAGGAGATCAGGAACCAGAAGTAATTTTTCCATTATTCTTTATTCGTCTGAATATCCTCGATCAATGTTTCCAAATTAGATTACGAATGTCAAAATAAGATTTCACTGAAATGTCGAATACAGGAGCTGGCAGACTGAAGTAATGCCTGCGCTTGGTGCATGGCTGGGCGGGCAGGGGAGAGCTGACCTGCCGGTCAGGGCTGCCGAGGGGACAAGGAAGGGACACCGGTGAGTCGGGAATCGGCAGTGGTGACGGGCTGGGTCCCGCTGCCCTGTATGATCGCCAGCGGTGTTCCCCAGGGCTCGGTGCTGGGGCCGGTTCTGTTTAATGTCTTTATCAGCGATCTGGACGAGGGGATCCAGTGCACCCTCGGTCAGTTTGCAGACGATGCCAAGTTGGGTGGGAGTGTTGATCT